TGCTAAACATGCTACAAGGTGATAAATCATGTAACCTACTATGCTAACAAGATGCTAAAGCTTGCCAACAAAGTACTAAAGCATGTTACTGATTTTGTACACATGCTAGCTGCATTCAAAAACATTACACCATGTTACCAACACGCTAAATGTGATAACAATATGATAAATCATGTTAGCAATGAGGGAAATTATTGTTTATTAGCATACTGATGCTATTCTAGCACTCTGTGAAAGGACATCAGAAAAATTAGCAACATTAAAACACGCATGCTGGCAACTTGCTTTAACATGAAAGATAGTTATTAAAACATGGCAACATTTGGTTTAACCATGTAAGAAATGTAGTAGCAATGTGTTTAAACATGCTTTTTAAACTTGTATACTGTATACTTTCAGGCTATGTTTTCTCAACAACATCAAGTTTTTAGGTGGACTATGCCTTTAAGTCTGTATAAAGTATGTCATCGTCCTACAGACACAAAGTGGAGCCATGAAATCTCAGTGGGGGAATGCAGGATGACTGATACGAGGGATGTTGAGTATTTGCCTGGTCCAGACGGCATCAGCGCACAGGAGAAACACTTAGCTGATGTCCCTCTTGGATGGTGCATGCTCAAATAGCTGATGAATGAGCAGGAATCCGATACTGGCACTTAACACAGCCAGTCAGCACCAGATCTGACAGAAGACCAACAACCGGGGCCAAACTTTTAACCTCTTTTATGGTTTGGTGTTGCAAATGTTTCACCTACTTGCTTTTAATTCATTTAGACAAAGCCAGCAACTCAGCAAAACCAGTCAACTAAGGTATAGATAATCTTTTGTTTCATATTCATCAGTTTAAAAAGTATAAATAAATGTAATTAACAGTATAACGGATCATTCATTTAGTAGTTGATACAAAACTGTAATGTCATTCCAATTTTGAATGCAAAACCTAAAAAATTTTTTTAGGTCATATGACCAGTAGAGATATGAATATTAGTAGTGAATATTTTATATTGTCTAATTCTAATATACACCACAATTGAATTATTTTTTACTTGAGAAAAGGCGTAACGTAAACTTTCTGTCGTACACCACACCATTGGTACCTCATTGGCAGTCGAAACGCAAGCCTAATTAAGGTGATCCGTACCAATCCCGTACCGTACCGTACTGTACCACTCAGTGGAGACTAGCCATAAAACAGTTAAGAAAACTCAAGAATTGGTGTTGTTTCTTCTTATTTTATACAAGTAGTTTGAACAAACAGCAAATCAAGAGTTTAGATGCAAAAACCTCTAAGGGCTGTCTGAAATTTCCATTGAATATGAAGATTTTTCTCAGCCTCCTTTGTTTATGTTGAGTTATTTCACTTTAAAGACCACAAAAAGGGCTTATTCTATGTCATAAAAGTAATATTATTGAACCTACACACATGAGCCGAATAAAACTACTCATTTTAGAAGACAATTTTAGATGGTATTTTGCATATGAACGCTTCAAATGTAAATTTTCAAGTGTGCTTGAACTGTTTGTAACTGAATCAGAGTCAGTGAGTTGCACACAAGAACCTGACTAGTCCAATTACCAAACTAATTATTCAGATTATGTGAACTGATTATGGCATTTTCAGTGTTTATCCTGACATTATTTATTCATTTATATTCACTTTCATTTTATTGAGAATATCCTTCACTATATTACAATATCGCTCTACAAACATTTGAAATGATGAGTAAATAAAAATAATACATTTATATATTTGGATGTAATATCACTCACATAAAACCAATACTGTATATAACTACATACATTTATAACCATAACTGTGAAATTACTCAAACCCTGCAATAAGATTTTGTTCATACCGCCCACAATGTCTGACTACAGCGTCCCCATAAAGCCTTGAATTATCTCTAATATCTCTCCGTCCTCCTCTCTCCTCTCCTCTTCTCCCCTGCCTTATAAACAGCACAGCGTGGAAGTCATTGACGGACATTGATAGGTCTCTCATCTGCATTCTGCGCATTTATGACCTTGTCTCGAAGACTGTCTGTAAGATCCCAATTCTGCAATCCCACTGGCATTTACTGGAGCGCCAATCAATACCGTGGAGGTGCCACCTGCCCAAATTAGAACAAGACTACCGCTTCCACACATATCAAATACCTCTGCTTATTCTGGAATGTCAGACCTGTTTTTCTGTGCCAAAATCTGCATGCATCCCAAGTCTGTTTACGTCGGTGTACAGTGGCACACATACAATACATACAGTATGAACTCATTCCCCAGAGCTGCAAATCTCATACACCATTCATACTGCAGTGCGGAACAGAAGTGATGACACAGATGCTGGCTAACTGCAAACCCTGAATGTTCCTGCGCGCATTAGAAATCTGTCATCACTATAGGTCATTGGACTGGCGGCAGCTTAAATAAAATAAAAGCTCAGTGGTTTTGTTCTAAGGTGCTGAAGAGTGGTTTAGCCGGAAAGCAGAAGATGAGCATCACTGCTGTGCCCTTGAGCGAGACGCTTAACCCCAACCTGCTAAAAAGCGGGATGTCAATCTGGATAAACAACCACCTATAAATCACCAGAGGCACACCAGAGAATGCTAGTGAAACGTCCGCTAAACAGCCCTCAGTATAAACAGAGTGGAAAGGAATCAAACAGAACAGGACAGACAACCAATAGAAACACTCAACAGAGTAGAACAGAGAACCTCACATAGAAGTGAGGTCTGAATATGAAACTGCATAATACTTTTTCTAATATTTTTCTATGGCAAAACTACTAAGCTGGTATGTATGAGTTCAGGGATAGAATAGAATCAAATATAATAGAATAGAATAAAATAGAATAGAATAGAATACAGTTAATCAGACACAATCCAAGAGAATAGAGCAGAGAAACTAGACTAGTGAATAGAACAGAAAAAATGACAACAAAACAGTAAAGAATAGAATAGAATAAATTATAACAGAATAGAAAAGAACAAACCAGATGTGAGATGTGGTTTAGAACAGAACAAATAAACAAACTATAACAGCAGACCTACAATAGAATAGAATAGAATAGAATAGAACAGAACAGAACAGAATAGAATAGAACAGAATAGAACAGAACAGAATAGAACAGTTGTGGAATAAATCAGAACAAATAAAACAGAAAAAAAGTGGAATAGAATAGATTACAACAGATGAGGTATAAAATAGAACAAGCAAGGAAGAGAAATTAATAGAACAAAACCAAACAGTAGAAGACAATACAGGACAGAATAGAATAGAATAGAATAGAATAGAATAGAATAGAATAGAATAGAATAGAATAGGGCAGTTGTGGTGTAAAAAAGAACATAATAAAATAGATGAAATAGAATATGACAAAATATTGTAAACTACACAAAGAATATAGCATCGAATTAAGAATAGAATTGAAATAGAATAGAGATGTGGTGTAAAGCAAATAGAAAAGAACATAATATAATAGACCAGAGAAAAAACAAAACAGAATAGAATAGATGTGGTACAGAATAGAACAGGCAAGACATGTAACAAAACCAAACAGAATATAGTAGACAGAATAGAATAGAATAGAATAGAACAGAACAGAACAGAACATGGTAGTTGTAGTGTAAAACAGAACACAGCACAACAAAATGGAATGGGATAGAAATCAGAAGAAAAGAGAGAATATAATGCATATGACAATATAAAGCAAACTACACAAATAATATAGCATACAATTAGAAAATAGAATTGAAATAGAACAGACCAGATGTGGTTTAAAACATAAAGAATAGAATAGAATAGATGTGGTACAGAATAGAAAAGATCAGAAATAGAACAAAATCAATCAGAATATAGTAGACAGAATAGAATAGAATAGAATAGAATAGAATAGAATAGAATAGAGCAGTTGTGAAGTTAAACAGAACAAAATGAAAAAGAATAGAAGATAACAGATATGTAAAAACTAAAGAAAGCAAGGGAGAGGAAGTAATAGAACAAAACACAAACAAATGTAGCAGATCAATTCGAATAGAATAGAATAGAATAGAATAGAATAGAATATTCTATATAGAATAATAGATGTGATACAGAATAGAACAGGCAAAGAATATAACAAAATCAAACAGACTATATTAGACAGAATAGAATAGAACAAAATATAATAGATTAGAGCAGTTGTGGAGTAAAACATGACAAATAGAATAGAACAAAATATAATAGAATGGAATATAACAGATGTGGTTAAGAATACAAGATTAATAGAACAAAATCCAAGCATATGTAATAAACAGGACAGGACAGGACAGGACAGAATAGAATAGAATAGAATAGAATAGAATAGAATAGAATAGAATAGAATAGAATAGAATAGAATAGAACAGGTAAAAAATAGAACAAACCCAAACAGAACATAGTTGCCCAGAATAGAACAAAACAGAACAGAATTCTAGACAAAGTAAAGTAGAGCTGAGACAACAAGAAAGAACATGACCAGCAGTCAATGACAAGAAAGACTTGGAAAGCCCTAGAAAGCGGCTTCTCTGATAGCTGAATCTATTTATCATGCTGAAAGTCTGCAGCCATAAACAGCACCAGAGTGGCATTGGGAGTGAGCAGCAGAGCCAGATGTTATTCCCTCCTCTGCTCGCTGTCCTCATTAACTGCATCTCCTGAATGGGATGACAATTCTTTGATGGGCAAGAACTTGCTGCTCAACACAGGAGTCTGTTTACTCCTGGGATTGATGCTCCACTGTTGGGCTGATCCATTTTTCATGAGAGATTAAGTGGGATCTGGAATTATGCCGTTCTAAACCAGCTGTCTGCCTGGCTGTTTCATCGCACCAGATGTTGACAATGGATTCCAGTTCCTCTAAATTGATGAAGCTCTCTGAGAATGCTTTTTTCTCTCTCTGGAATGTCAGTTACACTTTGATGCCGAAACAAAGCAAAGAAGCACATGGCGGTTCAATTGAGCTGTGAAATGGGAGTTAATCGTACCTTCAAACTGATATGCTCTGCTGTCGTTGTGGAATCCCTGGACTTGGGAAACTCCAGCGCTTGATTTCTCAAGGTCGATCTCTTGGAAGATATCCACATGTAAAGCCGGATCAACACCCAAACCTGACACTATAGGGAACATAAATGATATGCATAATCTTGGAAAATGTATTCCTGTCAAACATTAAGTCAATAATTTAGCAACCAAAATAAAATGTCATTTAACATTAAAATGACATCCTGCAAAATATAAATCAAAGAACACTGCTTTAATATTCAGTGATGTCACTGTTGCATATTCATATAACCTACAGCTACACATAATAATTATTTAGAACTCACCATGTGTTGATGAAAATTATATGAACATGCATAAAACAGTAAAACAACATGCATAAAGCATAATAAACATGAATTGAATTTAATGCATAATCCTGATAAATACAACTTACAAGTACACTGTTAATTTTTGTTGCTATTTTGGTACATGAAAAATTAAATATACAACTTTTAAATAATTTACAGCGAAAGATATTTATTTACAGCAAACTATTAAACATGAAAATTATTTATATAAAGTAATTAATACTTGAACAGTAAACTAAGAAGCCTAATTCTGGAAAATATAACTTAAAATCTTTTTTAAAACTTTTAACTGCATACATTTCATCAATTTATTGCATTTTCTACATCTTTTAATTAAGTAACCTTAAACATATTTATTTGCAACTTACAGTGTATATTGTTAAATGAATAATTGACGTATTAGATATTATGACTTTAAACTAAAATGAACAGAATTTTACAGTAAAAATACATAAACAATCCTGAAAAATACAACTTACAATGTTACACCGTTCTTTTTTTTTTATTTTGTTACATAAAAATTTAAATATACAAGTTTTAAATAACCCACAGCGAAGGATATTTATTTGCAACACACTGCTAAACATAATAATTATTTATTTAAAGTATTCATACTCAAACAGTAAAATAAGAAGCCTATTTCAACTTATCTTTTTTAATACACTGGATTTTATACATTTCATCAATTTATTGCACTTTATGCATCTTTTAATTAAGTAACTATTTCAATTTGCAAGTATTGTTGAACATTACATAATTGATGTATTAGATATTATGACTTTCAACTAAAATGAACAGAATTTTACAGTAAAAATACATGAATAATCCTGAAAAATACAACTTACAGTGTTACACCATTCATTTTTGTTGTCATTTTGTTACATAAAAAATTAAATATACAAGTTTTAAATACCCCACAGCGTGTGATATTTATTTACAACACACTGCTAAACATAACAATTATTTATATAAAGTATTCATACTCGAAGAGTAAAATAAGAAGCATATTTCAACTTATAATCTTTTTTTATACACTGATTTTATACATTTCATCAATTTATTGCACTTTATGCATCCTTTAATTAAGTAACCTAAAACATATTCATTTGCAACTATTTCAATTTGCAAGTATTGCTGAATGTTACATAAATAAATGATGCATTAGATATCATGACTTTCAGCTAAAATAAATAGGATTTTACAGCAAAAATACATTTGTATATGGTGTTACACCATTAGTGTTGCTATTTTGTTACATAACAATCAAATATACAACTTTTAAATAACCCACAGCGAAGGATATCAACACACTGCTAAACATAACAATTATTTATATAAAGTAATTAGTACTTGAACAGTAAAATAGGTAGCCACATTCTGGAAAACATAACTTATAATCTTTTTTTAGACTTTAAATTTTATCAATTTATTGCACTTTATACATCTTTTAATTAGGTAACCTTAAACATATTCATTGGGAACATTACATAAATAACTGATGTATTAGATGTTTTGACTTTCAACTATGAATGACAATGAATAGAATTTTACAAATACATGAATAATCCTGGAAAATAAAATTCACAGTAAATTGTTTTTTTTTCTTATTTGTTTATTTTACTTTTTAACTTGCAGTGTGTGTCTTCTTGAATATAAAAGAAATAATTGATTATCCATTTATGATTTCGGCATCCCCCTCTTTCAGTAGCTAGCTACATATCTCAGTTAACAGGTATTCACTGTTGCATTTTTACATCTACCATTGCATATATACCTTTAAAAATAGCTTAACCCCCTGCATAATTTATACAATCTTCATATTTGATCATATTGATCAACATTACGTCCGTCCAAGCGTTAGTTGTGACCATCCCATTAAATAATATGCAACCACTGAATTTTAAAGTACCCGTTCCTTTACTAAAACCCACTTCAACAGTTACAGGTCTAACAAAAAACTGTGCTTACCATAGAAAAGTCCGACCGTGCAAAGCGCAAAGTAAAGTTTGAATAATCCCATTGTGAAGGAGGAGAGAGAAACGCCTATTCCTTCATTCTGCTGTTCCTCTGGCGGAGACGCGCATCAGTGAAACAGTCCTCAAACCCGCATCACTTCAGCTGAACTTCAGCACATAAACACACTCGTAGAAAAGCAGACCGCAAACTCCATCAGGAGACAACCGAGATCGAAGAGATGCAGAGTCCGACTGACAGCGAGCGGTCAGTGGAGAAAAGCAGGTGCGTCTGTCCCTCCTGACGGCCAGAGACACACAGAGAGAGACGGAGAGATACTGAGACTGAAAAAGCGCACCTGCAGACCAGCAATCCTGACACCTGCTGGTCACACACAAGAACAGCAGCTCTACATTTTTAGTGACTTGATTTTTAAGTTGAATCAAATGAATCCGTTGAAGTAGTTTGAACTTTTTAGGTTGAACGTTGTAGCATGGTTAACTTCAGTTAAATGAAGATTAAACAGCTTAAAACATTTGTCATTGTCATATTTTGTCACTAGATTTACTAAATGTTTTAAGATAACTGGTTGCAAACAATTTATATGGGCTGAATTTAAACAAATTAAGTTGAGCATTAGTAAGACCAGACAGAATGTGCAGATATTTTTTGCTATTTCTATTTAGAGAATTTTGTGTAAAAAAAAAAATAAATAAATAAAAATCTGTGGATTTATGTGGAATGATTTTAGAAGTATCATAACTAAAAATGTAATCTATGAAATAATACAAATATTACATTTTTTACTTTTACTTAATGTTTACAAAGCAAATCCAATTACATACTTATTTGGTAAACAAAGCAAGTCTCTCATATAATATATCCACTAAAAGACAGAAAAAAAATACTTTACAAACTGCATTGTAAACAAATCATATGAACATTTTAATATTACTATTATTATATTACAATAATATTAGTAAAATTAATTGAAAAACCAAATAAATATAAATTTCCACACATTTACACAAGTAAATAAATAGACTCTATGGACTAAAAATCTGTAATGTAATTTGTTTGTTTACATCAGCCCACATAAATAGTTTGCAACCAATTACATTAAAAAAAAATGTAAATGCAAATTTTTTTTCTGTGTACTTACAGAATAAGTTTACAGATACAATGTAATTTTAGGTATGTATAAAAAATGAAAGTGTGTGTGTGTGTGTAATTTTATTGAATATCTTTGAATATTTTAATGCTTTAAAAATGTATTTTTTGTTATATTTAAAACATATTTTGAATAAACTGATACAACAATAAAAACTAGCAATTAGAATTTAAGGACAGACCGGGAGGGGCTTTTTTCCGCCTCCCTTTTCCCTAATGTATCTTACTTTCCCTTTTTAAAGCTACCTCTCATCTGACCTGTCTTCCCTTGAAATGCGTGATGTTTGTGTATGGTTAAAGGGGTCCAATTTCGCAACATGTAACAGTGTATGAGGAAAAAAGGGCTTTTTTTTATCATCATCATCATCAATTATATTCATTTACTTATAATTACAGTATTATCAGGTCAATTTATTGCTTAATGCACTGTTGTTACAAAGCATATACTGTATATAATCTAGTAGTCTTTAATAATATTTAGAAAAGAAAAAAACAAAGAACAAACACGTTACAGTGAATTACAGTAAAATTACAGTAGACTGTAACTGAACAAATGGTTCATTTTTTAATAAATACATTTTAATTCATATATTTAATTATTTTGATATATATATATATATTTTTTAGTAATACATTTTATAAATCCAATGAATCATTTTTTTTGTTAGGGTGCTTATATTATATATTATTTTATCTTATTATATTATTTTATTTTGTTTTGTTATATTATAATATATTTTATTATATTTTTTTATATTATATCTTATTATATTATATTAGTTTATTTTGTTACATTATATTATTTTATATTATATTACATTATATTATATTATATTATACTATATTATATTATATTATATTATATTATATTATATTATATTATATTATATTATATTAATTAAAACAGTCCTCAAAGGAAATTGTTTGCACTATTTCAAATCAATATATAATTATTTTATTGATGATTTAACATCTCCCCAGCACGACCTAAAGTAACTTATGTAAATCAGTAGAGATTATTTAATTAAATATTCTTCCACTAACGGCATATGGACAGGATTTTGTTGCTTGGATATCCAACATTATGGCACGTAAATAACTAAGACACGTTGCCAAGGCATCCTCAGCGCATTTGCATATGCAGAAGAGTCAAAGAAGAAGGTCACGCGAGGCCCAATTCAAAACTGCAGGACCGACCAAACCAAACAGCATGAATTCAGCAAGAGGTAGAACATTTAGCTTTCTAAAAAAAAAAAAATGCATGCATCAAATTATGTCTATGCAAGGAAAATAAAACAGCATGTTTGTGCGTGCATGCAATGCCTCATGAATTATTAATGAATCATTTGCATGGTAAACCTATAAATCTGATTACACGATCCCACCATAACTTATTTATTAGACTACTATGCATGATATTATGGAGAGATACTGCAGGAAATAGCTGTCAATTTTGGGATTTCGGGCTTTTTTGGCTTTTCTTAAAGTGTTTTTTTTTCAGTCTAATTGAAAGAAAATATACAAAACATCCATTTACATAACATTTTAGTTTTTAATAGCTTTTTTCTGATATAAGCCACAAATATCTACTTCAACAGCTCTTGCATACATCAATATTTACAGTTTTATTCACATCTTTATTCACATCTTTATTCACATCTTTATTCAAGAGGTTGTTACAAAGGAATTCATACAGTATATGGACAGTATGTCAAAATTAAACAGGAATTTAGACGCCAACTTCATGCAATTTTCAGATATTTTGGTGCTATAAATTTGCAAATTAGTAGATATTTAATGAAATAATGCCACATATATAAACGTAAACGTTTCAGAAAGTTAATACCAAAAATAAATATCTGCAATTATTAATATAATCCTTCAACCAAGGAAGTGTTGGAATTTCTAGCTAATTTCATGCGTGGAGATATTAAAAAATATTATTAATTTATTAGATACAAATGAATAATTCGAGACCAGAGCTCTGGGCTACATTATACAAGAATTACATTCAGGAGGTGCGTAGCTAACTTACATTTTCCTTTTAGTTTTAGTGTGACGTCACTTATCAGTCATTCTGCAGTCCTTTGTCTGTTACACCCAAACATACTTTCTCTTTCTCCAATCCTTCTCTGCATACAAAAACTGAACAGTTAAGCGCATCGTCAATATATTTCACAACTTCTATAAAAATCCAGCTCCTTGTGACATGTCTAGAATTCTTGTTAGACAGAAAGTCTGCAGCAAGACCCCCCGCACTATATTTATTCTTATTCTGCTATTTCCCTCTCGTCAGCAGTTCCTTCTGAGAAGTATGGAACACAGTAAGAAAGAAGAAGTGTGTTTGGTTAATATATGTTATCATATAAATATAGGCAAAATAATAAAAATAAATTCCTTCGTCCCCACAGAAATATGATGAAAACTGTTAATGATTTTATTTTTTTCACTTGCAGTGTCTTGCTTTGATGTACAATAAATGCAGTAAATACAGAAATGGTGAGTGAGAAACTGCTGGATGCATCTCTCAGTTTGCTCAGTGTCAGTTGAAGGCATCAGTCAGACAGAAGGCAGCTCATAAAGCAGAGCGAGGGGAGAAAACTGTCCTCTGACTACCGAACAACAAGTGTTTCAGACAGCAGCCTGCCAGCAGGACTGCATTTGTGGCCTCTAATAAAAGCAGCAGTTGGAGACTGTGATGTGAATCTTGAAACTGCAGAGAAGAAGATGATGAACCACATACAAACTAGAAAAAAAGGCATTGCTATTCTGTGTTTTCCTTACAAACAGCAAAAAAGACTTAGGAAATGTCACATCATTACCTCTTTAATTAATCATACTGCATCTTGATTTAAGAGAGTTCCGATCTTTACTCTTGAAAACAAGAAAAATAATAGTTGGTATTATTATTGTTTTGAAATATGCTAACTTTCACATACAGGAGTGCTAATATGTTTACCTTCACTTACTGTTGAAGTGCGGTTTATTTATAAAGGATCACGTGCTCATGATTGATCACAGCTGGTCCTGCATAAGCTTAACATAATGCGCCAATCAAATAAATACTAACTCACTATAAAAATCACCAGAGTTTCTTAACTACAATTGTCTTGAAGAATCCCCCTTCCACCCCTCCTCCTCCCCCGACATGGTGGCCCAGTGGTTAGCACTGTTGCCACACAGCAAGAATGCCACTGGTTCAAGCCCTTACCAGGCCAGTCGGCGTTTCCGCGGCGGTGTTTGCATGTTCTTCCAATGCTCGTGTGGGTTTTCCCCGGGTTCCCCTGATTTCTCCCACCGCCCAAAGTAAATTGAGTAGTCTAAAGTGGCATCATAAGTCAAACTCTTAGCCAGCTATATCTCTTAGCTATTCCTAACACGTTTACAAGCAGGGGAGTTGTGATCTACCTCAGCTCAAACTCCTCTCTCACCCTTCAAACGGGAGGGAGCCCAAGGTTCGGGGATATTCAGAGCTCAGGACTCTCTCCTGGGACAGCATGCCAAACACACTTTATTATCAATCATCAAGTGTGAACTCTTGAATTGCAAAAAAAATTGTATTTGCAACTTGCATTTATCCTGTATACACACATTTTTATGTTTTATACATACAATTATAGATAAATTTGTTAAATAAACTAACTACACAAATATTGGATGGGTTTCGTCTTGTTTGTCATTTGCCCATGTTGCCGAATGGCCAGCTTAAGGCAAGTTAAGTGTATTTATATAGCACATTTCACACACAATAGTAATTAATAGAAAAAAAGTATAAGAAATAAAAACAACAAAGACTACAAATGATAAGAAACTGACGTGTTAATGTGTTAAAAGAGCTTTTAAATGAATGGGGGGTAAAATGAAGACATAATAGTGCTATCAGTTGGATATAGCACATTGCTCATTCAGTAAAGGCACAGCTAAACAGATGTTTTGAATGTAAAGCTGCTTTGAAACAACAATTATTGTAAAAAAACTTTTATACAAATAAACTTGAATCTAATTCAATGTGAACATCGGATCATTTAAATCTTAAACCTTCTGGAACTATCTCAAACCAGTCAAGATCAGTTAGGCTGGTTTCATTTTATTTATTCTCTAACAGGATATTAGTTGGCACAAGCATATGCACACAGACACCCACTAAACCTGCTAAAAAAGA